CCCGAAGGATCCTTAACAGTACCTTATGCTTCTTTTTTGGTACTGCTATAACCGTTCAGCGAAAATGAAACATGGTTTTGCGTTCCCTACATGCGTCCCTACAATATGCACAAAACCGTTTGGAAAAGCGCACCTTGCCCTGAAAAACCTCCATTGTGGGACCATCTTTTTCATTGTGAAACCATCTTTTTCATTCCTCGAAACCGCTGAATCTCTTTCAGGTTATGATCCCCACTGCGATCCAGCGATCTCACAAGAAATGTCGACGGCGGCTTTCAGATTTGGTCACACACTTATTCGGGCTAAATTCCCCCGTATGAGTGACACATTCCGAAATATGAGCGAACCTGTCGAACTGAAGGTCAGCTTAGTTAGCATGTCGAGAGGCTTTAATATAGGTAGTAGTTTTCTGTTTCAGGACCACTTCTCAGATCCATCTCCTCTCTACGACCGCGATGTTGGCCACTTGGAGTCCATGCTGATGGGTTTGGTGGGGGCTGAGAGGTACGTAATCTCTTCGAAATCAATTACCTACTTGTGGGAGTCTTTAGTATCATGATTGCCCTTTGAAAATTCTGAATTACAGTATGGCGTTCGATCGACACATCACGAACGCTGTGCGTAATCATTTGTTCGCGAAACCTGGTGGTCCGTTAACAGGAATAGATCTACCGGCTGTGAATATTCAGCGCGGGAGGGACCACGGAGTACAGCCGTACAACAAGTATAGGTAAGTAGGACGTAGTTCGGGTAAAAGAGTTTGGCAGAAATGCTCGGAAAGTAGCTGCCCGTTGATCATCCCTTTTATCAAGGGCGCTGTGCGGACTACGAACAGCTCAGAAATTCGACGATCTTCGTTCTACAATGGACGACTCCGCAGTGGACGCACTGAGGAAAGTGTACGAGCATGTAGACGATATCGATTTGTTTCCTGGTATCATGAGTGAACGACCAGTGAAGGGTAAGTAACCGAGTAACCGCAATTTTTCGAAAAAGCAGACTATGGCCATGAGAGTTATTCTAATTAATTACTAGAAACACCTTGTGGTTTGCGCAAGTTGTCGTGGAGCCGAAACGCCTTCCAAATAACTCCGGGTGGGGCCACTGCATGGCGCGTACTTATTACTGAAGAAGTTGTAGCCCATACCAATTGAAGGAGTACCTTTGGCGATGTTTCCAACTAGTGCGCTCCAATCGAAAAGCACCGCGCGAAGCGACCTTGTGAACAGTTTGTTGTTGACAACTAATCCTTTTTGGTGAGCCGGAACAGGGTACAAGTAAAAATGATTGCAGTTTAGAGGTGAGAGGGGGCAAACCTTGTGGCAAGTAAGTTTTGAGCATTGAGCCAGCAGACAGCAGGAAGGCAGATAGAATTGGATGCCACAACACCCCGCGAGCAATTATTGCCGTTATACCGAGCGTAAGATCATTCAACTGCCTGTGGGCAGTACCTCCTTCTCTCTTCTACCCCGCCAAGGTGCGTATGAATATGCTCGGTATGGGTACCGACAAGAGGCCCGTTCGCGGCCGGCAATAGCAAGGCAGTGATCAACAGGACGAATCGCAGGCGTACTGTAGCTGATTATCGCTTCAGACGTTTAAATCAAAGGTCGAGATGAGTGACCACAACTATCCTTATCGTCAGTCTCTGGTACTTTGGTTTACGGCATAGTACAGAGATCCCAACGCTGAAAATCAGTTGCGCGGCCCGGGTAATTAAGGCCCCAGGGAATGTACTATGCGCTATCGCCGCCTGGCCCCGCTACGACCGCCCACCTTGGGATGTGGTGCGTGGCTGGCATAACGTGTGAAATCAGCTAGGTTGATTGCCGTATCAACCGATAGAACGACTGATATCTTCAGAAAACTTGTTTGTACGTGCCTCTTTCCCAAGCCAGCCTCCTTCACTGCTAGTGGGGAAGAGGGTTTTGTTAACGGCCTTGTCGACGGTTTTTCTCAGTTTTTTCTCCACTGTCGTTCCACTTCGCATCTCTATACTCAGTTTCAATCGCCATAATACCCCCTTATTGAGCCCGACTTTTGCCTTTAAGTAGAATGTACCATGTAGTACGTTCACAATTGCACTCATGCCCGCTCCACACTCGTCCCGCGCTCCGGCTCTCCCCCCCCCTACCGCGCGACAAGAATTCCTGTTCGTTTACGCAAATCGTCTTGAAAGGATAGAAGAATGGTAGAACGCGTGGTGGCAAAAATCGGGGTAAGCGCATTCCAGAATGAGGAGCATTCGCATGGTAGTAGCTCTGCTTCCCTCTCGCGCATCTGAAAATATGATTTTTTTTTTTCGAATAAGATCAGAGAGTTCCTGAGTTTCATTGTTCCTGAGACTTCTTTGTGATGTTATGGAGATGAAGCTGAAAAAAAAACCAAAAAAAAACTTCGTTTGACGACGTTTCGGGCCATAAGCCCTTCTTCAAGTCTATAAAAGTATTCATACATTACATGCATAAATGAAAGAGCGAAATTAAAAAATAAGGGTTCGTATTCCAGTTAGGGGGGCATCATCATGGTGCGGTGACTCCCAAAAAGCTACGGTGACTCTGAGCCAGGGGGAGTGTAGCCAGCCTAGGGGGGTGAGGGGGGTGAGAGCAGTCCACTTGACCGTGGCAAAGATAAAAGAAGACTGGGAATCGTTTCGAAGTTTAACATTTTATGCTCGCCGAGAAACTGCTCATGATGCCCCTAACTTGGAATAGACCTAAAATAAGTAAATATAAAACAGATGCGAAAATTGAAATTAAATTCACTGACCAATTACACAAGGGAAAGAACCGGGTTGAGTGGGAGTGGATCGACTCCGCTGGTGCTCGTGGGTCGCTGTGAGGGTGATGGATAGAAATGTAGGATAATTCATGAAGGGCACCAAGCTCTCCTGCTACCCACACGAATAAAATCGAGCAGCACATCGGGGTGACTCGCGGTGGAGATGGTAGCATTTGATACCCTTATTTCTATTTTACCATCCGCTACGTAGCCTTCATCTCATCGTGTCATTCTGTAGCGATGATTTCCATGGTGTTTTTTAGTTCTTCCATATGGTTAATTAGAGTGTTCCCCTTCGTATTTGAAGCGCTACTTCATTCTCCTCACCAGATCACTTATAAGTTCTTATTATATCCACCCTTTTGATCTCGGATGCATTACACGCAGGGGCGGCTTGTTTGTGAAATTTATTTTTTTTATCTTTTTTTTTTAAATCGGACGTTTGGGACCGTTTGTCCGCGTACTGGGTAGACCTCTGCGAGAACAGTATTTATAATCAGTATGAAACAGTTAAAAATAAAGCAAAAATTGCAGACAACAGTTATTTCTTGTACTCGTACGCAAATGGCCTTATTAGCTCTCTTTGTGTGTATTTCACCATTCACCAGAGCATTCACCTTCATAAGAGCTCGTTTCCAAGTACGTGTGGTTTACCTTGAGGCGCGCTGGTTTTCAGGTACCCACTCTTGCGTGCATTGAATTTGCGCGGAACAAATGCAATCGGCTGAAGAGCTTATGTGACCGTTTCTACTATGAAAATGCCGATCCTGCAGTTCGCTTTACGCCAGGTATGTGATTTCGCCACGTTTAATTGCCGTCCGAGCCAGAATTTTTCTCGAAATTAGTTTCCGATGGGTGTGGGAGACTTACAAGGGGGGGTCTTTCAGGGCAAGCCACGCTTTTTCAAAACGGTTTCTTGCATATTGTAGGGACGCATGTAGGGAACACAAAACCATGTTTCGTTTTCGCTGAACGGTTTTAGTAGCGTCAAAAGATACCCTTGATGGTTCGATCCCCGCGGCGACTATGCATTTAGGTTGGCGCCTACCGTGTTGCCAAATCCCGGTAAATGTCAAAACCAGATGTCATATTCATCGTAAGGACCGTTTTGAAGCCAACAAGTGGCCGCCAACCTTGATTGCAAAATTTAGTCGCCGCGGGGGATCGAACCATCAAGGGTATCATTCACCACTTTTTTGATACTACTAAAACCGTTCAGCGAAAACGAAACATGGTTTTGTGGTCCACACATGCGTCCTACAATATGCAAGGAACGTTTTCAGAAAGCGCGGCTTGCCCTGAAAGCCCCCCCCCCCTTGTTAGAAAACACGTGCACTGCGTTTATAATCTAACGCGTGGATTTCCGTGCTGGGTGGCCGGGGCATATCCTTTGCTGCGGATTGCGTGTCGGACCGCACCTTTACAACGAAGGTCTTTCAGGACATGAAGCGCGCCTTTTGTGAATGGTTTCTGCCATGTTGAGCGGGTTATGCGAAGACGCAGGAAACCATTGAATCCATTTTCTATAACGCCCCAGGAATGTGCAATAGTGCATGAAGAATGGTCGCAGTTGTTCGACCCGGTGGTGACTAATTTTTGTAATATAATTTGGCGCCCACAGATTGCCACCAAATGGCGCCATCGTCGAGAATAGATGTCATTTGGGTGTTTTGCGGCAATTTGGAGGCGCCAACATTAATTGCAAAAATTTGTCATCACGGAGGATCGAACTTTCGACCATTTCTTCTCCGGTGCTGTTTGAAATTCCTGGGGACGTTCTGGAAAAATGGACCATGATTTCCGTGCTCCCCACATGAGCCTCTACAACATTCAGAAATCATATTTTGAAAAAACACTACATGTCCAAAAGACCCCTTGCTTAAAGGGTCCGCCTGTCTTCCCAGTAGATTATTTGCCATCTCTTCGAACTTTCGTCCTTATCGAGCCCTCCCATTTGGACTTTGAAAAGATGCTCGCGCTGCGCGGAGAAGCGGAGACACGAATTGACATGTCGTTTTGGTGGGAGACATTCGTCATTGGTGGGGAAAGGGGCCAGAAGCGGGCGCCCTATGGCGTGTTTCCACTAACGACGGTGTTCTTTCACCGTTGATGTGTCTCCGCCTCGCAGCCAGCGCTGGTGTTGCAGATACGGTATTCCATCTTTAATTTACTAACCTGTATTTGTTCATTTCAGATCAGTTGGCTGAAATAAGAAAGACGACATTTGCGAAGGTTATTTGTGCCAACAGTCAGTCGCTCGAAAGATCACTAAGTATTTCTATTGGCACAGGACGAGCTGGGAGCGCGGAGTATTAGGCACACTGCTTTCAGCTCAGAATAAGAGTATGTAGAAAGGGGCTATCAACGTCAAAGAAAGGCTAGACTATAAGGGTGCGGTCAGTGATTCCGCAGCACCTGATTTTTTGGCGATCTAGTATAAAGTCGGCTTCTTACATAGCTTCCTCACTTTTCGAATTTTTCAGCATCTCGATGCAGTACTGAAGAGTTGTGAAGAGAGATAGCAATAGCAAAATTGCTTAGGAGATGGACAGGCTGGAGACGCTTGAGGGGACGGCGCGGGGCGTTACCTGCGCGAGAGTGAGTATCGTGTTACCCATCCTTCCTCTAGCAGAGGTCTCGGTGCGACACCCTCCTGTAACCAGTACGACTCTCCCTCATCACTGGCGTCAACGATGCCGTTGATTAGTGTTCTGTTATTACGTCACCCACTCCTAACCGCCTTCTTCCCCAACTCCCCAAATGCTGGGGGAAGAAGTATGGATTGGAGGTTATGTGCCCGCTTAAATAGCGACAATTTATATTATACATTTACTCGCTATTGCAGTTTCAATGTACATCTCACTCGCATCTTAGTCACCGATTCACGACACCTAACTTGTTTCTTCCAATAGCGGCCACACATTACTGCCGTTGAGGAACTTTACTCTCTACGTGGTGCAAGTTGTGTAGTTCAAACATGAAATCGTAATTGCTGATTGGCTTGCTTAGTAAAACCTTCTGGCTCTACTTTTTGCAATTGCTTTCGGTCATAGTGTGGCTCACGATGGAGAAAAGCTAGGCATCGAACACGAGAAACCAGGAAGCAAGGTTGCAAGAGAGCACAGACGAAGAAACGCAGACTCCTTCGCATCCGCCTTTATTGTATAGCGGATTCCGAATTGATGGGTGTTTTCCTCTCTGTGTAAAAAACCACGGCACCCTTGTTACCCTTGTCTGAACCTTGGAACGCAGCCCCAAAGGTTGCGGACTTGCTCATAACCTCTGCAGCTGCGAAAAACTTCACCTCACTCAAGGGTGAGATTGCCAATCTCAGCGATGCGACCAAACTCGTTCCCTTGCTACATTATTAAATGAGGAGTTCAAGCCCATCAGTGCATGAAAGCCACAGAGTATGATAAACAGGTCACTGTCAGCCCAGTGAATCTCACCGGTGCTGACACCAACAACCTGTGCGATCTGACCTGCCTCTCTAGTCCGACGGCGAAGGACCATCATGGGGAAAAGACTCGCTTCGAGAGCGGGCGCAACCACGAGGCAGTCTGCGCCGTGAGTGAAATCCTCGAACGCCCTCTGCCCTGAACACCTCTCGTCTTTTTCAGCTCCCAGTGGGCACATTCTCCCTTCGTCAGAATCCATGCCACGTACCACCTGACTTCGATAACTCAAATCGGTCAAAGGGGCCTCACCACGGTCTACACGTTGTCACTACAGTTGAAGGAAGATTCCACTATAAGGTCAAATCTCGAAGAAGGGGGAACTTACCTAATGGAAAGACAGGCGGATCCTTCAATGGTGCGCACCAACGCGCACAGCGAAGGATATGCCCCCAGGCCCTCCCCACGACGCTATTGGCGCGGCGCGCCCAGCGATACGTAGTCCCTCTCCCTCTGACTCTGCTCGTTCAGTAAAACTATAGCTACGAAGAGGAACCACCGATGGGAGTCGCGTCAATGCGGAAGTCAAGAGTTAAGAGTGTCTTTTGTCTGGTTCTGAGAAGTTTCTCAGGGTTTTTCTTCATCCCGGTACCACTGTCCATCTCCACCTTGATTCTAATGGGCTGCCTTTCAATCATGAATTCGGCCTTGGA